TCTGTGGTTCCTGATTGTTTACTAAGCTTTTCCACTTCCAGCATTCCCTCAGTTTGTGTTTCCTTTATTGTCTCTATTTCTGATTTCAGGTCTTGAACTGTCTAAATTGTTTCCTTCCGCTGATTGATTTTATTTTCTTGGCTTTTTTGGCTTTCCTTGATTTCTTTCATCTTTTGGTTTGTCTTTTCTTCCATTTCTCTGAAGGATTTTCTGATTTCCTCTCTTAGATTCTCTATCATTTCCATGAAGTTGTTTTTAAGGTTGTTCTCTTCTGCTTCTTCTGTGATGGTATGATCATGTCTTGCTGGTATAGAGTCCCTAGGCTCTGGTGGTGGCATATTGGTTTTCCTGTTGTTGGATGTGTTCTTATATTGTCATCTTCCCATCTCTTGTTCCAGTGGGTACAGTTGATGTCACTTCCTTTCCTGGTGTGTATGGGTCCAGTGTTCTCTGATGGGTTTCAAGTTGGGTGCAGGCAGATCTGAGGTACTCTCCCTCCAGGTGGGTGAGAGTAGCACTGGCTCAGAGATGTCAGCAGACTCTGGGTTACTTGGTCCTCAGGGGTCGAGTCATCCTGTCGAAGATTCCTGGGGAGGGTTTGCCAGGGAGGGCAGATGGAAGTTGGCCCCAAGCTAGGGGCCAAATCAGCTCACCTCTGCACTCTGCACTCTGTGGGGCCTGGGATGGTCCAGCCATCTCAGCAAAGACAGGATCCCAGGGTCTTCAGGGACCCATTCTGTCTTCTTGCAGATCCCGGGGCGGGATTTGCCAGGGCGGGCAGGCGCAATTTGTCCCAAGTTAGGGGCAGAATCAGCTCACCTCTGGACTCTCTGCACTCTGTAGGGCCAGGAATCTAATATTTGTTTTTAAAATTCAGTCATATATCTGCCTATGTACCTTGATTACAAGATTATCCATAATGAAATTCAATAATTTTAGTTCAATTTTAAAGCTAAAATATCAGTAAATATCTATACCTCCAGGATGCTACAACATTGAATTCTTGATAGGTATAGAAGATAGCATTTCTATTAACCTTCTTACCAGAATATATATCAAGCACAAGGGTGTTTTTCTCTCTAAATATAGAGATTTTAAAGACTATAAGTGGTATAGCCAGGAAAAAATAAAGTTCTTAATATTTCTAGAAACATACTGAAAAAATGTAAATAGATTTATCATAACAAATTTGTAAAGCCATATTTTTATATTGGTCACAGCACTTTCTGTATTCTTTTATAATGATTTCTTTTCTAAAGAGTAAGCCCTGTCAACTTGAAGAAAATGACTATCTCAAGTAAATTATCATGTTTCATTTGTATCTTAAAAAGCTGAAAATGCTATTTAATTGAGCAGAAAATTTAGGGTCATGGTCTCCCCATGAAAAATCAAATAAAACTCACCATAATACTTTGAAGGAAATTATATTCTGTTTGCACATATTTTATTGTAATGTGAACATTAAAGTTACATTCGTTGTATATTTGCCTACTCTTGCTCATATTTTATTCTTCTCTCTTAGTTTGCAGAATTCAGTTAACAAGATACAAGAGTGAAGACAAAACTGTGAGATTCAAAGAGGCATCTTCAAGTCTCAGTGACAAACAACTCTCACCGGAAAAAATAAAGGAAAAGTACAGCTATGGCTTTTCTCCAGATTCTGACACATTCACAGATGAAAAGTTTCACAGAAAAGCAAGCCGGAAAATATCTGTCTATAAGCGTCATTGCAAGGAGTATAGATATGCCCGTGGTTGTGAGAGTTTTAAGTATCAAATTTCACCCATTCCCCCAAGTTCTGAGTCTTCCACCTCAAATGTATCATCACGTGTTGGCAGCCCAAATTCTAAGAGTCTGAAGTCTGCCACAAGACAGAAGACTCGAAGAAGTATTACATTTGATTTGGATGTGGAAACTCAAAGATGTGCCAGATGTTTTATGGAAATTAGTGACTCTTCTTTTCATAAATGCCCCACAAATTCTGATGATTCTGACTCTGACTCTCCTTTACATGGCCAGATTTCCTTAGATTCTAAATATTCTCTGAGATCTAAAACTGTTAGACACTTTAAGACTTCTCGAAATAACCCTTTATCTCGATCCCTGGATCCTAAACATCGTGTGGGCAACCGCTGCTCTCTGCACAGGGAAGATTTCAGATATTCTGTGGATTCCACCTCTTATATACATTGTGAAAGATGTTCAGCTCTCCAAAATCTTAAGGGCTCTGTTGATACCCACACCACTCCTATGAAATCTGAACAAATCATGGGTCAACATAGTACCTATGGCTACATAATGTCAACACCAGAAAGAGTGTCTGAAAGTGGACTGTCTGCTCAACCTCAAAATAAGGATAATCCAGATGACAGTGCTAGAAATATCAAAGATGAGGCTGATGTTGAAGAGGAACTTCTTTCCAAGGATGAGACAGATCAAGAATATGAGACAAATACTGAAGATGAAACAGATGCTGAAGATGAAACAGACACTGAAGATGAAGACAATAACAAAGATAAGAAAGATCCCAAAGACAAATCGGATCCTGATGGCAGTGATCCTAAAGATGGGAACTCTGAAAATAATACTGATAGTAATACTGGGTCTGATCCCAGTGGTGCTTCTGGGCCTACAAGTGGACCTGATTCCAGCAATGATGGTGACTCTAAAAATGTAACTGATCACAACAATGAATCTGACCCTGCCATGGAAAATGCCTCAAACAGTGATGTTAACTTGGAATATAGCACCGATTTAGACAATGCTTCTGATCTGTCAGAAGATTTCAATCAGCAAAATAATGTTGACACCAAGGGTAGCACAAATCCAAACTCTGCCTCTGGAAACAAAAATAGAACTGTGATGGACTATATTTCTGGTTCCAACAATGTTGTTGCCATCGCTAGAAATGACACTGGACAAGGAAATAATATTTTCTCTGAGAACATTAGACCAATTTCCAATAGTCTTGACTTCACCCAAAGTGAGAATGATCCCAACAACAATCCCAGCCCTTCAAACAGCCATGGACTCCTAAAAGATCTTGAGTCTATCTATAATACCAAACTCAGTAATGTTTCTAGTCATGATGTTGTTAATCCTAACCATATTGTTTACCCTAACTATGGCACAGAACCTACTAGCACTGCTATTCACAAAAATACAGCTACCCTAAAATATTATTCAGACCTTAATGGTGTCACAGGGTTTACGTACGAAGTAAGGTCAAGTTTTCTAGTCAACCCAAACTATTTTGGCAGAAAGAAATACACTATTAGACCCAGCTTTGCACGTAGCATTATCAATGCCAATGATACTAGCAGCATCACCAGCTATACTAGCACTATTAGCTATCAGTTTACTTCTGGGGAAAAAAATGCCCCAGAAAATAAATATTTCCCTGGATTTAGTCATTTTAATTGTTTCAACATTATCATCAAAAATATTCAGAATGCTCATAATTCTCCTAGTACCAGCAATATTAACATTCCCTATGATGCTGAAGTGAAAGCCAGTTCCATATCTTCTATTTTTAAAATTGTTTATGGAACTGTCTCAGATTTTATTGCTGACACAAACTGTACTTCTTATCCTGATTTTTTGATAACCTCTGAATTTTATGATCCTCTTGAACTTGGTAGAGCTTATATAATTTTTGATAACCAGAATGTTGGTGCTCAGTTCCAAAACTCCACTGGATACACGTACCCTGATATTTCTAAGTATGCCACTGGGTCAGTGGACGCCCTTGATGCCAAAGAATCTGGCTTTTTAAAAGATTTTTCTAGGGTCCAGAATCCAATTGGCATCAAGGATCCTTCTTCTTTCAAGATTCTTTCCAATCAAAATATTCCACTCTCTAGCTTTGATGTTATAGTGGAAGCTGAGCTGCCAGATCTTGTGAAGTTTGCTATATCATCAGGTGCTGTGAATCAATTATTTAAGGTAAGTTTACATAAACATACATTTCAAATTCATTCTCTTTTGTAATTTTCAGTGCTAGGTTGTTGAATGTGGATTAAAATTATTTTACTTGGATATGTAAACTGTGGAATAGAGTAGTCAACAAGGTATCTAGTATTTCTTGACATGGGAAAGTCTATAGTATGATTTTCAATAGGAAATAGTCATCTTCTATATATTTGGTAAATGGAAAAATAGATAAACGGGCTGTAATAGACTGTTCTGTTTCTTAGTAATGTTTGAATAGTTCATAAATGTAAACCTGGTCACAATCAATCGAGT